TTAGTTAAGTCCCACTAACACATTAGTTTAGTCCCACTTAGTTAAGTCCCACTAACACTTTAGTTAAGTCCCACTAACACATTAGTTTAGTCCCACTTAGTTAAGTCCCGCTAACACTTTAGTTTAGTCCCACTAAATCTCAACTTGTCTATGGAATGTAACTGGAATTAATTTAAAATGTAAACCCAAACAAGTCAGTTTCTATTAGGACTGTTATATCAACACAATAGATTTATGAGGGGAAACATCTTCGGCTGAATAAGTATCCATCGAATGATGATAAATAATGTATTACATCATATCCGGGTATCTGGTACACGTCAAGTCTGGATTTTATATTGTGATTTTGAATGGGTTTTTTTTTTTTCTTTGTTTCATGCTTCGAAAGATGGCACATATTTTTTAACGATTACTTAAATTTGTGTTATTGGACTCTACTAAAATTCCACAGCCGTTTAAGAAGGCTGAATCACGGGTCAGTGAGAGAAACGTAACCCTCGCTGCAATACCAGGACAAAATGTACTTGGCGCATTATCGAGGAACAGGAAAGATGGTTTTGATCACCTTTGCCTTAAATTTTACTTTAATCATGTGCTTAAATTGACTCATCCTCCCTCTGAAGAAAATTATCAAACACGAGCTAAGCTTATACAATGCTAGTGATACGAAAGTATTGTCAACATTGTGTTGGTATCAGTCTGTCCGCAGCCCGGTAATGAATAGACAAATACTTACCCATAGGAAATTTTCCTCTCGGGACTACAAAGAAAAATTGGAAAGGCATAGAAAGATCATAGTTCGTCATCTATACACACGTCAAACCTGCCTAAAAATGTACAACGAAAAACCGAAGCCTTCGATAACGTACCCAGTGAGTATTTATTGAATTAATTAATCAGATATTAAAGTTAATTTTCATAGGAAATATAATCGTGCACCATTTTGTCCAGATTAACAGCATTTCAATTGGAAAGTTAGGTTAAATATCTATAATGCATATATGTCTGTCAACATGTTGATATGATTTGAATTTTGACACATGGTTAGTTGCAATAGTTTTACAGTGCAGTGTGGTCTGAAGATTTAAATTTACAAATGTGAGATTTCTCATCAAGAAAATATTTAAATAACGAATCAGACAGGATTAACGCCATTGTAATACGATACACCTCTACCAGACTGTAAACAATGATTACCTACCTACATATTGTTCTGGGGCAGCTTCTAAAGAAAAAATAACAACAATTACAATTATTCTTGAAAATATAAGTGAGGTACATGCCGACCTACATCTGGCGTGTAAATAAAATGGATGGCCAGGAAAGTGCATGAATAATTGGAGTATAATACACTACACAAATAAATTTCGTAGGTCAAATATGGCCGAAGTCCATAGTACTCATACATACTATCAAATCTGTCTCGGACACTTATGTTCTAGTTGCTGTCTCGGACACTTATGACCTAGTTGCTGTCTCGGGCACTTATGACCTAGATGCTGTCTCGGACACTCATGACCTAGATGCTGTCTCGGACACTCATGACCTAGTTGCTGTATCGGACGCTTATGGCCTAGTTGCTGTCTCGGACACTTATGACCTCGTTGCTGTCTCGGACACTTATGACCTAGTTTCTGTCTCGGACACTTATGACCTAGTTGCTGGCTCGGACACTTATGACCTAGTTGCTGTCTTGCACACTTATAACCTAGTTGCTGTCTCGGACACTTATGACCGAGTTGCTGTCTCGGACACTTATGACCTAGATGCTGTCTCGGACCATTATGATCTAGTTGTTGTCTCGGACACTTATGACCTAGTTGCTGGCTCGGACACTTATGACCTAGTTGCTGTCTTGCACACTTATAACCTAGTTGCTGTCTCGGACACTTATGACCGAGTTGCTGTATCGGACACTTATGACTTAGTTGCTGTCTCGAACACTTATGACCTAGGTGCTTTCTCGGACACTTATGACCTAGTTGCTGTCTTGCACACTTATAACCTAGTTGCTGTCTCGGACACTCATGACCTAGATGCTGTCTCGGACACTCATGACCTAGTTGCTGTATCGGACACTTATGACTTAGTTGCTGTCTCGGACACTTATGATCTAGATGCTGTCTCGGACACTTATGACCTAGGTGCTTTCTCGGACACTTATGACCTAGTTGCTGTCTTGCACACTTATAACCTAGTTGCTGTCTCGGACACTCATGACCTAGATGCTGTCTCGGACACTTATGAACTAGATGCTGTCTCGGACACTTATGACCTAGTTGCTGTCTCGGGCACTTATGACCTAGATGCTGTCTCGGACACTCATGACCTAGTTGCTGTCTCGGACACTTATGATCTAGTTGTTGTCTCGGACACTTATGACGTAGTTGCTGTCTCGGACACTTATGACCTAGACGCTGTCTCGGACACTTATGACCTAGTTGCTTTCTCGGACACTTATTACCTAGTTGCTGTCTCGGACACTTATGACTTAGTTGCTGTCTCGAACACTTATGACCTAGGTGCTTTCTCGGACACTTATGACCTAGTTGCTGTCTTGCACACTTATAACCTAGTTGCTGTCTCGGACACTTATGACGTAGTTGCTGTCTCGGACACTTATGACCTATATGCTGTCTCGGACCCTTATCATCTAGTTGTTGTCTCGGACACTTATGACGTAGTTGCTGTCTCGGACACTTATGACCTAGTTCCTGTCTCGGACACTTATGACCTAGTTGCTTTCTCGGCCACTTATGACCTAGTTGCTGTCTCGGACACTCATGACCTAGATGCTGTCTCGGACACTTATGAACTAGATGCTGTCTCGGACACTTATGACCTAGTTGCTTTCTCGGACACTAATGACCTAGTTGCTGTCTCGGACACTTATGCCCTAGTTGCTGTCTCGGACACTTATGACCTCGTTGCTGTCTCGGACACTTATGACCTAGTTGTTTTCTTGGACACTTATTACCTAGTTGCTGTCTCGGACCCTTATGACCTAGTTGCTGTCTCGGACACTAATGACCTAGTTGCTGTCTCGGACACTTATGATCTAGATGCTGTCTCGGACACTTATGATCTAGTTGTTGTCTCGGACACTTATGACGTAGTTGCTGTCTCGGACACTTATGACCTATATGCTGTCTCGGACCCTTATCATCTAGTTGTTGTCTCGGACACTTATGACCTAGTTGCTGGCTCGGACACTTATGACCTAGTTGCTGTCTCGGGCACTTATGACCTAGATGCTGTCTCGGACACCTATGACCTAGATGCTGTCTCGGACACTTATGATCTAGTTGCTGTCTCGGACACTTATGACCTTGTTAAAAGGATTGTCCTCAGTTAAAATTTTGTTTAAGCGATAGGTCTGTTCAACATAGCAATGATCTAGATGCTGTCTCGGACACTTATGACCTAGTTGCTGTATCGGACACTTATGACTTAGTTGCTGTCTCGGACACTTATGACCTAGGTGCTTTCTCGGACACTTATGACCTAGTTGCTGTCTCGGACACTTATGACCTTGTTAAAAGGATTGTCCTCAGTTAACATTTTGTTTAAGCGATAGGTCTGTTCAACATAGCAAATCAATGCCAGTGTCTGTGACGTCATCAAAGCTTCATCAATCATCTCGTGGAAAATTTAAATATATATATATATATTCCAGGGTCAATAGACCATTTATCCGATGCAAATAGAAGCAGTTAGCCGATATCTTGAAATACGGATATACGTTCAAGTTTAAAGTTTCAAAAAAGACGGTAATATTTCTCAATATTAGTTAATGGATCAGTGTAGACATTAAATCAGGCCATATAGCTACGTAAGTGTACTTGTAGCGTTCACACATGCGTAAGACTGCTAAATATCCCGAAAGCCAGATGAAAGGGATGTAGAACGGAGGCGAAGCCATGCGGTTCCGAATGGTAAGTGTTTCTTACACCACACATATCACCCTTCATGACGTATCCCGTTCAATCCAGAATTGATATGTTACCAACGCTCGAAGACCCCGTAAGCAAGTCTTAAATCATGATTAACAATTAAATAATTATTACAACTACCTGTAGAAATGACGCCAAGACGGTGACCGTAAAATATTCATCAAGTTATCAGAGGAAACCTCACAAGTGAAACTTGGTAATATTACTACTAACCACAGCAGTAACCAGCACTAATACATGTAAATGTATCTGTCCTTGTTACAGTTGTGACTAAATTCTACATTTTTAAACTTGTATTTTAAAAAGGAACCTTTCAAAGTAATATTCAAAACTATACTGTGGTGAATTGACAAGATACTAACCTTCTTCCTCCTCTTCCTGTTGTTGTGCTAAAATTTCTGGAAATATTTAAAAGGGAATTCATTTGCTTTACGTATACATACATGTAGGTCCATTAGTTTAACAAGTTAAACAATTACTATCACAGATTAATTAAAAGGAAGCTATCGATGAATAATTGTTTACAATCGATTAAAGATACTTTAATACGTCTTCTTAAGTCAAAATTGAAAGGTGATCTGTCATATCATGCGTATTATTGCTAAATTAAATTTATTCTAAGCTTAATTTGATATTGTTAAAAGGAATTAAGATATCTAGACAGCTACATATTTCTAAGAAGTGAATAATTATTAGCACAATTAAGCATCGTTGGTCTGAGCAATGCTTTCCGGGAAAACGAATGAATAATGTTACTTTAGATTTATGAAACAAGCACTTAACTATGTATAACATACTCCCGTAGATGAAATCAACACTAGTACTAATCAAAGGCGTTTTTCATGCAACAATCCGCCCCGAACTGTTACTTCCCAAAACCAATATATCACAGAAAACCCTCGTTATACTGCCACCAGTTAATTAGAGAATTGTTGGCGTTATAAAAGGTTTGGTGATACACAGAGGGTGACGTAATATAGTTGTTAAGAAGAAAGCGAAATGAGATCTCTTAAAGACTTTGGCGGGAAGCAAGATGGACAATCAAAAGATTGACATTATATTATCGAGTTTTTACTGTTCAATTTATTTTTGTTAAGGATATAACAAACCAAGCTAACAAGTCAGAAAATGAAATATGAAATACATTTCCTGAGAATAAGACATGGATTACAATACATATAGTTATCATGTGATTTTTTTTAAAACGATACACATCCTATTTATTAACAAAGTACATGTTTTGCTTGCAACTTTTATTTTACTACGATTCGTTGCCATTTAAGACATTGTCTATCTCATAATGCTGTATTACTGTACAATAGAAATGTATCATACAATTCGAACGACTGTTCATGTTCAACCAAATCACCACGGAAGAGAAGGAAAACAAAAGTAAAAACAAACACATCTTCAGTAATTCCACCGTTTTTGCCAATAGTATTTTTAATGGCAACTTTCTGAGGAAGAAAACAGTTAATTAGTTCCTCTGACCGCTAACACCACATTAATTTTAGATTTTAACCATACATTCCACCTGTATATCAGCAAACACCTTCACCAAGGACCCGACACCGTATCACCTGCCCATGTGACCACCGGTGGGAGTGGTGTCCCTTGTTGTTTTTCCGGTTCCTCAGTTGAATCGACCGAGTCTGATGTCTGTGGCCGTGTCGGCATTATTTTTTTATATGAATATTTTTGAGGCTGGTCTATTGTTGGCGGAGGTTGAACAACTGTTTGTAAAATTGACTCACATAAGACACATCTGTTTTCATTCATTTTCAGGTCAGCCTTGGTGGAAAATAGCTAAGAAGCTCTAGAATAGGATCATTAAAGCATACCTACCGTATTTATGTTTTACCTCTTCAAAATTTATATTAAAGATACATTTAAAGGATTTTAAGTTTTGCCGACAGATGATGAGAATTTAAAACTTTGAATAAAAACACACGCAGATAACAATAAAAATATTTAATATCAATTTTTTGTTTTGGAAAATATAAACATAAAACAATAAAGTTGGATATTTATAGGTTCTATTTCGAAAGTTTAATGGGTTGTAATTGATTTTAATTTCATTATCACTGCACATCCATGCTTTACCTTTGTCTACAGGCCTAGAGCTTCTACTTCCCATCCTGAGCTGTGTGTGGGTTGTTAAGATAGGTGCCTGCAATTTCATGTAAAAACGAGGAAATTAACCCCAAGTTGTGAAATCAGGATATAGTCAGGTCTTAATCAGTACTTGTTCTAGGTCAATAAATAGATGCTTGTTCTAAGTCAATAAATAAATTGAACCCGATGCGGGGGAGGGGGTGATGTGTAGGAAGAAACACGCTAGTAATGTATACGTTTGAGAAAACCCTCCCCCTCTCCATTTCCTTTCTTTATTTTCTTTACCGTTACGTAATGATAATCTAGATCACTTGCTTTTCACGATGGCGACCTAGGATTGATTCTCGATCCCCCTAACTTGAAAAGGTATTTGACCACATGAGGTGGGGGGTTTTCTGGTTCACAGTTCCTTTCCACTTTCACCCTCCTAGATGCTTTCATCTGGGCCAACAATAGTTATCAAACTTGTTTCATAATTGCTGTTAAATCATTTTCATATCTGGTGAATATACTTATTATGATTAGAGCGATTGACAGATGCATTCACTTGGTCATTGTACACGTATTATGGTATATATACAAAATGTAGATACATAACTGAAATATGTAATAACAATTACCACACCTGTACAAGTATATACAATGTAACACACCTGGCATCAACACTTAATACTTACCTGTGTAAAATTACCCGGGATGGTTACAGAGACTGTCTAAAATCCGAGACATTGTCATCCCTTCGAGTAGATTTCACCAACAGGAAAGAAGGTCAGACATTTTAACTATATTATGACTATTCTACTTGATATTCAAAACCACCTCGTGCTCAGACCACAGGTATAAATATACAGTTCAGATATATAACACGGTCTTTACATTGTCTACACTGTTCCAGTGACGATTATAAGATCATATCTATCACGTGATCCCATAAGACAGTCAGCTCCTTTGTTTTGAGTTCACGCTAATTTGGTCGAATCAGTGGCGGACTTCTTTTGTGTTGTTTTAAATGGTTTGATATTATCTTCAATCTTTTTGTCAGTGCCACAAAATGCATACGAGTTGTCTCCCCTCTACCATATATAATTTGGTTGGGGCGCGTCATAAAGTGGGACTTGATACTGAGCCAGATAGTATGTAGTATCCACCTCTTATTCTTTGATGATAAACCATTAAAAAGATCATGGTTTATATATAGCTTAAACGTACAGATACGGATAACCAATCCTTTAGTTAAGTTTAATCAGTGTTCCAGCGAAGTCCGGAAAGTACCCAATCAATTTTGTTATTATCTGTGTAAAATTAATTTGTTTAAGTGTTCACGTAACTTAGCATTTACAAGATACAAGAATACAAGATACAAGAATTATTTTTATTTAGAGTCGTATATGTTGTAATGGAAACATTAGCTCTGTAGCGCCATTATTACGACAAATAAAGGGATAAAACAGGATATATAAGACAACATGCAGAAAACAACAGGCAGATGGCAAGGTTTATACACACACAGACAAGATTGTTTTTAAATCACAGCATGCAGTAATTATAAACAACTTGGCACAAACAGAACAAAGTATATATAAAAATCTACATTAAAATTGATGCTGCACAAAAGATTCATGACACATGCTCACAAACTAAGAAACCATGGTTCAGTAATACTTAATGCCAATATGACATGAGTTAAACATTGACCGAATATACGCTAATATAGCATAAATTAAAAAGATGATTTGACAAGCATTGAGTAAGTCATACAATGCGTAAATAAGAGCACTAAGCAAAAAATTGAAAGGAAGTAAAAGCATAGAAGCATGGTATCACAAGACATGGTAAAAACTAAGTATAGAAATGATAAAAAAAAAGGTTGGAACAAACAGCAGTCTGCGAAATCTCTGGAAGTTTTCTACTTTCTTCAGTTCATTCGGCAAACTGTTCCACACTTGGGCTGCCTCAAAACGAAAAAACTTTTTTTTCCATACCTCGTTGTGTTAACTCTTAGTACCTGAATGGCGTTCTCTTGCCTGAAATTATATTCAACATTATTTTTAACAATCAAATCATTTAAAAATTCTGGAGCTAACCCAGTTAAAATTTTAAAGACTTCTGTAGCCATAGTCTTCATTCTAACAAAGTATAAAAATGTGAGGTTGTTTCTGCGTAGAATATCTATCACAGGTGAGGTTAAATCGTTTTCAATAAAACGCAGAGCTCTTTCCTGTATCTTTTCCATCTTTCGAATGTTGCTGAGGCTGCAAAATGCCAGGCTAGGGGGAAGTAATTAAAATTAGATGAAATAAAAGATTTCAAAATGTTGATCTTTCCCTTTTTTCCAATTCTTTTCAAAATAGCTAATTGTTTGGAGGCCTTTCTACAGATCTTAGATACATGGTTATCAAATCTTAATAAAGATTCAATCTCCACACCTAGCAGAGTAACACCATTTTTACAATCAATGACCTGGTCTCCAATAGAAAAGTATTTCATGTTGTCACAGTTTTTTTCCCCTATACATATGGCCTGAAAGCTAGGATTTGCTTTCATACCATTTGCTGAAAACCAGTTTAGTAAAAATTTACTTTTTTTTCTAGAGTAAGTTTAAGGTTTGAAGAACAGTTGCTGAAAAATGAAAGGGTATTGTCATCAGCATAATTGTACAAATCGCAGTCTTTTAGAAACGTAAAAATGCTATTAGGAAAATGTTAAAAAGCAGTGGGCCGATAATAGACCCCTGGGGAACTCCCTTCCTCGGCAGCTTCCATTCGCCGACACCGGGGCCAAGTCTAATCCGCTGCTGTCTGCCACTGAGGTAGCTGCCGATGAAACTGACTGGCCTATTCTATAGGCTCGCAGCTTCTCCAGTAGCAGATTGAGTAGAATACAGTCAAAGGTCTTGGACAGATCCATCAAAATTGCACCAATATACTGACGATCATCCAAGGCCCGACGCCAATCCTCAAGTAGACGAAGCAGAGTAGACTGGCACCGAAACCCCTTCTGAAAGCCGCTAAGTAAGGATTAAAAAATATACTAAAAAATCACTAAGTTGTGCATGTACAATTCTTTCAAATACTTTTGAAAGAGTGGGTAAAACGCTAACAGGCCTGTAATTTTCTTTATTCATGGGGTCATTCTTCTTTAAAATTGGTATTACTTGTGCCTTTTTTAAGGTATCTGGGAACTGCTGTTGTGAAATACAATGATTAAATAACATAGATAGGGGGAGGGGACTTGGGGCCTCAGATCCTGCTTTTAGCATTTTGGCAGAAATTCCGTCCACCCCAGTAGATTTCTTGCAGTCTAAACTTGATATAAGTTTCGTTACCTGTGCAGTACTGACGTTGGTAAACTTAAAGCACCCCTCATCTTCCACAGGTTCCATGTTGTTTTGAATATGAACAATGCTTGGGGGGTGAGCATGAAAAAGCACAATGCAATGGGTGATCAGAAAAAGTACTTGCACCATCAAGCTCTTTCCCAATATCATTTGTCATATCAGTAAAATATTCATTAAAGATATCACCTACTTTCTTCTGAACAGATATTACAATATTTTCCTCATTGATAATTTCTACATTTATTTGATAAAACAGGCTTTACTGTGGGCCAAAAGTCTTTAGAGCTATGGCCTGTGCTACAACGTTCAAAAAAGTAATTACGGACTGACTTTCTCTTAACCTTAACAACAAGGTTTCTCTGACACCTATAAGCTTCCCAATTTTCTGCATTTTTGAACTTATTGTATTTATTAAATAACATTCGCTTCCTTTAAATGGCTTTTCTAAGTACACTATTGAAAAAGGGGACTGAATTACCTTTGGCCTTCTCTCCTTAATAGGTAAATGTTTATCAATTACATCTTTAAGCATACACTCATGGGCCCAATAAACACCATCAACATCATCAAAAGTCAAAGCTACGTCAAAAGGTACATTACTTAAATCACGATTAAAAGTTGCTTTATCAAAATTTCTGTAACTACGAAATTTATATTTATCTTCGGGTAGCCCAGGGGCTGTTCCCTTAATTACTATTTACAAATGTTTGTAGCAGTGTTAGATCTATTTCGTACGACTTAACGTTAACATCAAAAGACAATTGCTTCGGAATAAAAACATGAGTTCGAAACTACCTACCTTGTACACTACAAACCTCATCATGTCCGATCGGGGAATTTAACCCCGGGCGACATGGTGAAACGCGAGTGCGCTAGCCAACCGTCCTTTTATCTGTTATAACGGGGCAACTAGAAAAAAAAAGTGATTTTGAAAAAAAAAAAAATATCAAAACAAACAACCAATCGTGCATCCATTCTACAACCACGTGAATTCGTCGCCTCCCTTTTGCCTCTTTGACCAGACAACTAGTAATAAACGCTGAAATCCGGGAATATCCTGTAGGTACAGATTGCTACGCACTCCAAATAATGATTGAAAATATTATTTAGCTGGGCAAACCGAATTTATATGACTACAATGTAACCTTTTATTTTACGTCTTTATATATAACGGAACTGTTAAAAAACAACATAGAATCTACATATATCCGCGAAATATAGACTTTCTTCATTCAGTTGACAATTAACATATTATGCTTATTTTCATCCATTGTTTTTCAGACGTCATCACTCACCGTTGGAATAGAGCGACGCTACTTAGATGAGCTACTGTGATCTCAAATGACGAGTACTTTAATGTACAACATACCTAATATTTATTGATTGATTTATCTTTCAATAGAATTATTCTTTCCATTTTTAAATACGCAGCAAAAGTCTTCAATTAACTTCACAGATTCAATTAGACGATGAAAAAAATAACGATGTTGCCCTATAAGGTGTTGTTTCTGTTTCGATTAAACGTCTGACCCACTTGTTCTTTCCTTGACACACAGAATGCATACGCATGCAGCACAATGCAGGCGAGCACACACGCGCACACACGCGCACATACAATGCACATGCTCGTAGCACCTTGTTTACCTAAATTGTGAGAGAATTAACACATTGGCTACCACTTTTAATTGCAGTACCTGTATTTATCTTTTTATTATTTATTTATTTTCGAATCAGAAGAACTGATTTTGTTTGAATTACACTGAATATATTCGAAAAATAGAGACGTTTTCAAACCACAATTTGCGCGAGATAAACAAATATATAAAAATAACATGCAAGTTGGCTCATCTTGCCCCGTTCTCAACTTACTTTAAAAAGAAGGATTTCAACTTTTGCAATCGGCAGTATGCATTTCGCTGTTGGCATTATACATTTGGCATTACGCATTTGACACTAAGCATTTATGACATTTCACAAATACAATTTCACACTTCGTATTTGGTTGAAATCCTTATATTTAAATGTAAGACAGAACGGGGCTTGTTGAGCCTTTTTTTTAAAGATTTTTTTCATGAAATGGCACAGGAACATTGTTTGTTGCTTTCTGTTCAGTGTATATATCTATCTCGGGTACTGATATCACGTAATAGAATCTCTGATCTTTTAAACTAGAATTTCACATAACGCACTTGACAATTGACAATTAGGAAATTTGACATTTGACAATTAGCATTTCGCATTCTTATTTTGTTTTGTGTATCAGCCTCTGTATGTACTGTAGTAAAAAATAATCATTTTCAGTCATGATCTGCTGGAAATGACTACTGATCCACAGTTGTAGTAGGGGGTTCATTATTTTATGGTGTTTGTAGACCTCTAATACGTTCGATATATACAAGTTAAAACATATAAAACGGGGTTAAACTTTTAAATATGAAAACACTGAGCACTCGCTATTTTTCCATCTAGTGAATATATTTTCGTCAAAATCTAATATTTTCGTAAATAATTTTATTTTCACTGAATAAAGTGAATTATTAGATAATAATTTTGTTATCATTTCTTAAGATCAATATATGCTTTGGAGTCAGACCAAGAGTCCCCTTATAACATCCTGTGTTGAGAGCTGCTCGGTGTTTCGGTTATATCTCTGTTTCAGCGACGTTCTCATGTCGGCCGGCTAGCATTTGTATTCCTATCCAGTTATACCAATACACTTTTTTATATTGTAAACAAATTGAAGATAATTAAATATATTATTATATGTAGTCTACATCCAACGGTGTTCACTTGTAATATACATAAAACACAGCGATAAAGGGTTCCGGTACCATGTATGTCTATTTCTTAAAACTGGTATACAAAAACGAATAAATATAGCACGTGACTTAGGTTTTGATGAAGTTTTATTTCATTAAAGACAGACAAATTATATAACCAATAAAACAGTATACTTACCTTTTTGTTATAATAGTGTCTTCTACACTGAACCAACATTCGAACATAAATGTAACTTAGGTGTATGGTTCGGATATGTTAGCTCAATAATAATAATGATAATAGCAGCTATCACCCGACTTTGATAAATATCAGTGAATCTTGCTTATCTTTGTTCATACAAAAAGATCAATTGGCGTAATAGAGTAAGGAGGATATACGTTTCATCGTAATCACCCACTAGAACATTGAATAATTTAAAATAGATCAAATCGAAGCTAAAAGGAAAAAAGGAAAAAGTCATCTATAAAACTTAGCGCTATGAGTTGGCGCCTGCGTCACATACTGAAACATGAAAATAGGATGAATTCAAATAGGATGTGTAATGGCTGGTCTAGCTACACCGGAAGCGGAAGTGCTAATGTGTGTATGGCTACCAAATGTTGAATGAAATGTTATTCAAAGGGGGAAAAATGTGAGCATGATCTTAATTTACTTTGCATCAGCAGGACCTTTGTAATTATGATGATGTATGCGAAACGGAAAGGTATACTTGAGATCTACATCAAATAAGACAAGAGTTAACGTGATACTTATATACAAAGCGACACCAGACCTTTCCGGTCTAGTAACGATTTCGGAACTTATTTCCCAACTTGTTTCATTATATATCATATCATCTGCGATGAAAACTTGTTTGACTTTCTGTCTTTCGCCAAGCGAACTATGCCAAAATGACCGGCTTCCTTCTCATGGAACATATTGTCACGTTTAGAATTACGTCACAATATAAAACAACCTGATCAGTCTTAAATGTACTACTCAGAGCTCTGCACCGGGTTATAACACATACTCCAAAATAAAATTGAATATGATTGATAGCATAAAATGTTGAAATAGTGCTACAAACAGTATCGCAATCAATTAAAAGTAACAATGAAACACTAATAATTTGATGAAACTTTCGATTGTCTCGAGATTGATGTCGTTGTGTACAAGGCAGGCCGCGTAGGAATATTTTGAGTTGCTACATCTGTTAATAGATATGCAAGAAATGCCGTAACTATCTCTATAAATGTATACTCAAATTTTGTTTTAATGCATTTCAGATATTGAATTTTTCGACCTAAAAGAATTTTGAGTTTTTAAAGCTAACAACATATACAATTTAGTATCCATTACGGTACTACATCGCGGATTATCATCCATAATAGAGGAGCATATAGTCAAAGGTCACCGTTCTTCAAAAAACGTTTATTCACAATAAGGGGATGTGTTAAATCGACAGCCAGCACCTCTGCCATTAAATTGTTGGCCTGTAAGTTGATATAAAACAGGCTGTGATGGTAATAGGTGTGCAAAGTTTCTCCAGAGTTTTGTTTGTTTTTGTGAAATATTGACCGGCGTCCTTGTCCACATGGCCCCAAAATGCACATACCCAGGTTCACGGAAAAGGAATTACGCTCCCTATCTCTGAATTATTTATCCAACTGTGGTATAGTTTAAAATATAGTGGCTTTAAATGCCATCAAGCAAAACGAAATGGGGACATTACCGACCACAAATTGATAACAAATAATTTACGACACACATTCATGAGTTAAGAAAATGTATGAGCTTTACCATGATTCACGTAAATCGGTGTCTATGCGCAATGGAACCAAATTTCATGCACGGCTTGATTGCATGGGTTATTGTCATGCGCATAGAATTTAGTTAGTTTAAAGGGAGTAGTTAGACATTGTTATTATCAGACTTTGATCTCTTCAAGGTCATCGTCTACTGGAGGATCGTCACGAGCCTGCATCTTCTTTTTCTTCAAATCGTCTAACCGAGCCTGGAGCTGCAGGTCTACCTTTTCTTTGTTAGATGTATTTCTGAGAAGAGAATCAAATGAGATATCAGTATATATAATATATGAATATATACATTATATTTTGTCAGTGATGAATTTCGAGATGATCTGTTGAGGTGTGTGGACGTGTTAATTACTTTCCTACTAATATTCTGCAAACAAAAGCTGCACTATCAAGCGTTTCTTGCAAACAGTGTTTGGTAAGTGTTTCACGCATTGTTTGCGAGATATTTGCATCACAAAATGTAAAAAGCAGGCTATAATTCTATTGATGACCCTTTGAGTCAGGACCAAGCCTCGATGTATGTAGAGAACGAAACGGAACCAAACGACATGCATGTTGAGAGCGGTCGATGTTGTTGTGGACATTCATACTTTGGCGAGCCTTTCTTAAACTAAATATATAAATAACACCCTCAGGAAAAGAAACCTATCTACCAGTGACATATTGCAATGTAATGACTCTAAGAAAATAAAGACATTTCGACCAGAAAGTTTCGTTACTCAGAAACCGGTGACACCCTTTGCCACACCTCCGCTACAGTTTAACGACCAGGCGAACATAGCCTAAATCCCTACATGTAATAACAATTGTTTTCGTCCCATCAAGGACCTATGTTTGAACAAATAAACTGTAAACTCGCGCATCGACACCGAAATGGGGGGAAAATCGGATCAATCAGCGGTTTTCGATAACATGCAAAACAAAGTTGAATCTCAATTATCCAGAATATCCATAAATCGGTTCAGGAAAAAGTCGAAAATCTCTCCGACCGTCGGGACAGGAGGCTTGACATAATAATTTGCAATCTATCCGAACACTCTAGCGAGAATGACACAAGGAAAGTTAACAGTACTCTCATCAATGAAGGACTGCGCCTTCGTGACATTTCATTCGTGTCGACAGAGCGTAAACATTGTAAAAACCTTCAAAAGTCGCGGGTAACGACTGATTCCAAGAAGTGAACATCATTAACGACGTACCAACTGGACAAAGGAATTTAACCCAAAATTTAAGAAAGATTGTCAACAATCTGGGAAAAGACAGTTGAGAGGTTCAAGGGTCGTCGGCATTACACGGGCTAACACTGCTGTTTCTTATGCAAATAAGGTCCGATATGGAAGCAGTTTGTGTAGCCGATCGCGGGACAGCACGCGTCGACAAATGTGGCGGTCACAAGCGAGCAAACTCGGAAGAATGCGATGACCCGGAACGATGATCCTTGACTCGTAGTAATTAGCTATTACAACCAAAATTAGTTATCGGAAGCCGAAGCGAGAACACAATGATATGTATGTTTTAGTATCTTTACAGTTTCTGTTAAAATCTTCATAAAGTTTGCTGGATGTGTTTACTATTCGGCATCTCTTCGTCCGATACAATCTGATTAAAATCATCTGTTACATGGCTCCGCCTCAACATTTGAATGTGCCGCGGTCAGGGTCACGTTCAAGTGACCTTTAGATGAACCAATTAGAGGCGCCCTGGCAAAAGTTTGCCAGCGAATCGGAATATAATGGTTGATAGATAAATAGCGAGAGGTATCGAACAGATTAGTTTTCCAAAACAAATATGGTGGCGGGAACTGACGTTTCTACGACGCCAAGGGAAACGTACCCATTGGGAAATAATTGTGTAGGCAACACCGCCATACAGTCTTTCTTCTCTAATAAAGCTTCGAATATCTTTTTCTGTTCGGGTTTCAGACGATCAATCTCAAATAACTTGAGAACGTTCGCATCATTCTCATCAATGTCAGCCATATTTGTTACAACTCCGAGCGCCCTTTTGAAAGAGGGTCTCTGATTGGTCAAAATTTAATGAGTATTTATAAATATAAAGGTCACCTGAACGTGACCCTGACCGCGGCACACTCCGATGTTCAGGCGTAGTACGAAGTTAACGAAGCCATGTAACTTATGATTTTAATCAGATTGCATCCGATATGACATTTTTTTAAATCAGATTGCATCCGATATGACATTTTTTAACTAGCAATTTATAAAGTTTCCAAACATTACACCTGAATCCAGCTAAATGAAGCGAGTCGATAAGAATTTACACGGAAAAAGTGGTTAAAAACTAATTCAAATATGAATCTGTTTCGAATTAAATCATCTGGAGAAAATGCAAATACATTTCTAGACAATCTTTCAAAAGATCACAGGTGTAAGTCATTAAACTCACGTTTGGTTGATTTCCAAGGCGCGGTCTAGTATGGCCTTGGCTTGGTTTTGAAGGTCACTGCGTGCCGCTATTTTCTCTTCCCTTTTCCTCTGTAGCTCCTCCTGCTGTCGTTTCTTTTCCTGTATTTGTTTGTTCTCAGCAGCTTGCATCCCCGATAATATGGCGTCGGATTCCTTTATGACAAAAAACACTGCATTACATTGTATTGACAGACCGGTGTAGTATGGATAAAGTTCATGGTAACATGAACCGCTAATCTGCTCCATGGTTAAGTGAAGCTTGACACATTTTGATATCTGTTGACAAAACCCTTTCTTAATACCCTACCCAAACCCGATTTCTGCTATTTCCAAATAAATATGAACAAACTGAAGAAAACTACATATCAAAACGAGTTGATGGAAACAAAAACTATTAGAACAAATATAGGTGACGGCTTCATTTAACCGTGGGGCTGTTAACATAACCCTTATAGTGAATGAACCGCGGTTCAAATTACAATTATAGAAATTGACCCAGGTTCATTTCAACATACTTCCCAATTTCACGCCAAACCTTTATATCTGATAATGAATTGTTATATTATATAACATCTACAATATAATTGCTGTAAACTGGATCTGGGATAGATTGTAAGGAAACGCTAATTGTTTAGATACTTAAGTTTTAACAGGAAGCTCGTTTTTCACCAACCTTTATTTCTCGAAAGAGAATTGTACGCACAGATGAGTTCAGCCGAGCGTTAACTGTATGACACAGTCGTACAACAATAACAACAGCCATATTAACCTGTTTCAGTTTTTCCTGTGAAATGGAGGGCTCGCCCGAGGCTGTGGTACTGAATGGACGTGGACTGTCCGAGTGGGCCCTGGACGCTGGTCTGTTATTTCTTGACTCCGGTCTTCCACTAGACATCGGTCTTTCATCCTCACCCCGTCGAGATATTGAACTGAGAGGCCTGTCATTACTCCGAATGCTCGTGGAACTCGAAGCGCGGTCGTTTCGGCTCTGTGCGCGGCTCTGTGCGCGGCTCTGCGCTCGTTCGTTGCGTATCTGCGCCAGAGTTCTGCTCATCGGCCTCTGTTGCTCTTCCTCCATTCTGGACGATGATCGCACCTGCATCCGAGACTGACGGGATTTTTGTTGAAACTCGAGTTCCTCCTGTTGCCTTCTTTCCTCTGTATATTAGAAAGGATTCTTGAATATTGATCACGTGACAGGTGTTTTAAAAAGGGGACTTTTGTTTGGTACTTCAGAAATATAGATGAAAATTTCAATTGTAAACTAAACAACCCACAAATGGAGAGTTTGTCATCATTTTTTGTAACTTTTGTATGTCAAACTTTTATTTTGAGTTGCATTTATGAGAAGATTGTGAAAATAATCATTTTTAACATTAAAATAATATGTCATTATAAGGAATTTGTCCATGTTAAGGAAAAGAATAACTTAGAAATTGTCCAGAATTAAACGAAAAAGTGTGAAATAAGGTGTTTTCGTATACCCATGATAATTAAGGGATGAACCTTATCGTTAAGCACCTCAAAATAAACCTACACCAAGTGACGGTATATTTATCAGTAGGAATTCTTCATACCTCTTTGTACCGGAAGCAAGGATGGATTCAGTGAAAAAACATTTAAGATTCACGATTGATAAACAACGGGGCTAACGTGTGTTATACGGTTAGGATATAAAGGAAAGAATATTTAAGTAAACTTATTTTGTTAAACAGTTTTAAACCAGTTGCAACATCAAGCTGTGATGTTGTGACTCCGTAAACGCTCACCGTGCGTGCGCGCTTCGTGTTTGAGTGTTTCCTGTTCAAGGTGGTAGTCGGCGAGCTCGGCCTTGAACAACATCCGGCTCTCTCCCAGGATCCCCACAGTTTCATTGGCCTCCTTCTCAAACAATTCCATGAAAAGGTTCATCACCGTGTTCTGAAAAACAAATTTATTAAAACCGTCAACACATAATTGTTGTGAAAATTGTTTTGTATTTTTTAAACCTATAAATTATTTGATTTCTGAAATTCTCATAAATATTATATTGAACTGTGTAAATATCAAAGAGTGTGAACAGAACGGTTTATTGGTGATATGATTGGCCTATCTCGTGTAGAGTTCTGTAGACGGTTTCATAAAAGATAGGTATACAATTTGTATAATAGTTTATCATCTGTTACAAGAACTACGGGTACGAAAGGCTGGGACAGCGTTGGAAACCATGTACAGCTGTTGTTTCTTATATAGAACCTAATCGTGGTTTTGCAACGCATTTAACCGTTAGATTAAGTTAGTTAGTACAACCAGACGTACCCTTATCCACCTTTCCCAGCTATAAAAGAATGTTCGTCCAAGAACTCTGTTAGTCCATCTGGTGATCAGAAGGAGGAATGTGAAAATTCTATTATAAAAGAGGCAGAGGCAGACACTAATTTAACCACGACAGATAATCTATAAATTTTGGCGAGTACTGATGCTGCATGTAGCGGTTTCTCTTAAGGTTCCCCTTTGAGTCAGAAGAAACTCTGGCAATGCTTAAAAAGGATTCCGACGGATATGAGTTAGACAGTTAGACACATTGATTGCGTGATTATAAGCGCAAAAGAACATCGCCTAATCTATGAGTTTTTCGCTTTCACACAGCTTCTGGCATACTAATGGCGGATTCCACTTCGTTCATATGTAAATACATTTTTTCGAATGTCTCCGAAAGTAAAAGAAAACATATCATGTTAAAAAGGACTGATATGGTCGTTTTAGAAGTTATTGTTGCAGTCATTCATCAGCACGATCACGTGATCCATGCACAGTCAATTACATTTATAAATTGCCTTGGACTTTTGAACATATGAATTACATCGGTTGTCCTAGTGGTTCTCAAACTCTTTTGAACGAGATATCAATACTTTTAGTAATCCCTAGAAATGCAACAGTATAAAAAAACGTGCTAGAATAAGTTCCAACTACAAGGTTACAGAACACCCTTCAGACTAATGATCCACATTTTGCCTGATTTCTGTGTAACATTGATCTTGTTCACTATAAAATTGCTATACCAGGCTGCATCTCATGAAATTTTGTATAATCTATAATTTATTCAATTACGGATCCTTTTCACAGTTTACACGATTTCTTTTCTAGGTAAATTGTACTGTACCATAAGGTCATTTCTAACGTGTTTCAAAACATGCCTGCAATATACCTGATGTTGCATTTGTAATTGGTTTGGTTTGGTTTTATTTTGTATAATGTCCTATTAACAGCTAAGGTCATTTGATGACGTGCTTCCATGTGTGTTGTGTAAGCGTGCGTGTGTGTATGTGTGCCGGATACAGGGTATGTTCGTGTAATTGCCTCCTTGTGATAGTGTGGATATAATGCCGACTTTATAGTGCTATCTCACTGAAATACCATGCCGAAGGCACCCAGCACAGCATTTCGCCCGATCACATTATACTGACAATGGGTGAACCAGACAGAGCCCATTGCCTTCCTAAAGTGGGCATTGGATCAACATAAAAGCAAAAAGTGAGTTGTTGCTAAGCAAGGAAATAATAATAATAATAATAAAATAATAATAATAATAATAATATACAACATTTATATAGCGCCCTATATAATTTGTAGAATTACTCTAATGCGCTTTACAACATATGGATAATAGTAATGGTTATAATTGTGAAAACAAACAACAAAGGTTTCGATCACTTTCATACATTTAACAAGCAATGTGCACATAATTGAACAAATAAAAGGGTGGTATTTTCATGACGTCTTTGCAAAGATTCTAAAATGCAGACGTGAAGAGTTTAGTTTTTATGTTCCTCTTGAACTTGGCGAGGTTATTTGACTTCCTAATAGCAGATGGTAAGCTATTCCACAACGTAGCCGAAACGCTCCCGAAGCATCTTGTTTCCGTAGGTCACAGTACGAGATTTTGGGACAAACAACAAAGATTCTGACTCCGACCGCAGTGATCTTGACGGCTGATACAGGGTAACAAGCTCCTGTAGGTACTGAGGAGCTGTTCCATTCAGTGTCTTGTATGTGTATACCAGAATTTTGTACTGCGACCTGTATCGTACAGGTAACCAGTGCAACGAATAAAGCGCAGGTGTGATGTGCTCTCTCTTTCGAGTACGAGCAAATTTGTCATTTTGGTCTTGTGCAAGTCTGTCCTCTTCGGTCAACGTCAGCTAGACGCTTTATGTACTAATTTTGCGCTTATGAATTTTAAGCGTATCCATGCCCCTGAATATCTCTGTCCCGGATGTGGCTACTCGAAGCCTGTTTGAACAATTTAAGGAAATTGGTCTTAATATCCTAAAAATTCAATATTTTAATGAAAGCTGAGCACATTCCTGGTAGAGATAATGTAATCAACAAAAATGTCACTATCGTTCCCATTCATTTCGAATAGGTGTGGCTACAGAATTAGCCATGCGGGGGGTCGCGGACGATGTCATTAAAAGATGGGGGCGCTGGAGTTCGAGAGCTTACAATGGTTATATTAGATTACAGTTTTTGAGCTTCCATACAGTTAATATTGTTACTGTGTATGCTCAGTTAATGATTATTATTTAAATAATGTATTCTACGTTTCAGGAGCCACGATTTTGTGTATTTGTTCATCAATTATATTCTGCGCACATAGGGCAGTTGGCTCAAGATTAGGAGGTCCTAACCTGTGGCTGGTAAGATACGAGTTCGATTGGCGGGGGTAAAGAGGTATGAATTGGGATCAGTTCAGCCCAACATTGGACGACTACTTAAAAAAGAATCCCCCTCCATCCTGTGTTTTGATTCAATTGGGTTCCAATGACCTTGGGGTCATCAAGAGTAAGGAACTTATTGAATAGATCAAGTGTGACCTCCTTCGCCCTTTGGCCCTGGTACCAGGTGTCTGTGTTGTAGGGAGCGACCTCCTGCCTAGGCGGTTTGGCATGTTGTCTCCAGTCCTCGGGCCTTGGAAAAGGTTAGGCGTAGAGTTAATACAGCTGTAAGACATTTTGTTGTTCGGGAAGGAGGGGTCGCTATCCGATACACTTATATTACAGAAAAGGAGCTTTATCGGGGGCGGGGGCTCCTTTATATAATTTGTGAATTTGTAGTATTTCGTGAATCGTAACTGCGCCAGAAATTCTCCAAGTCTACAGTGTAATTTGCTGTTTGTGTTATTTTGTTATGAATCTTTAACTAAGTACCACTTCTTTTTAAGAACACTAATGTTCGGACATTAAGTATTGGTGTCCTTTTCAATGGCATGGTTAAACAGATATGTCTTCCCCCTTACTGAAATAGTTTTTTTAACGAACGTACTCTCTATACCTAACCGACTTGAAACGACCATGGTTCGACTGCCTCTTTTTGGTGCTTGTCTCTCATAGATTGTTGTCATCATCACTAATGTTAAAAATACTTCATATTCTAATTTCTAAAGAAGGACCTCAACAACCGGTTACTGGTAAGCTATACAAATCTACTTCTGGTCTGTTTGAATTCCACTGTCACCAGGAGGACCTCAACAAACGGTAACTGGTCAGATATCCAAATCTACTTCCGGTCTGTTTGATTCCACTGTCACCAGGAAGACCTCAACGAACGGTAACTGGTCAGATATCCAAATCTACTCCTGGTCTGTTAGATTATTTTGGCTTTAATAAATAATTTGTTTATGAGTATTTTTCTGTTGATTATCTTCTTTGCATTAACGATATTGGGATTCACGTTTAAATGCATATAAATATATGTTTCTAGTGGGTTTCCTGTTGTTATTATGCATAATAAATATTCATTTGTTTAAAATGTTGTACATGTTTATGTGATATTAGTGCATATTATATGCAAATGTAGTCCACACTCAATTGATAATTATTCATATTTCCGAGTTCACATGGGAATCTTTGAGTCAATTACATTCATAAACGTGCATGTGACAACTGAATTAGGACATTGCGTCCGAATAATGAGCTATTCAAATTAATCTAAAATTTAAAAGCTTCTGTCTACTGAACATTTTGTCCAATTAGTCTATTCTCCAGAGCTTTGCTTATCACAAAACTTGTACTATTTATCAGATAGAGTTTCCGACCTGTCAGTTATAATTCATAATGTCGGAAATTGGCGTAAACAAGTTGATGATCAGTTAAAGCAACGACACTAATGTAGTATAAACATGATTAGGATCTATTTAGTTGCGATTGCTGGAGCTTGTGTAAGCCTAGTGATAGTGAGATGTACCTGCATGTCATGTGTATAAAGCTGACCAGGCAAGGGATATACATTTAATAAGGCAGTAGATATAAAGTTAATCAGGCAGTAGATGTAAAGTTAATCATGAAGAGGATATAAAGTTGATCAGTCTGCAGATATAAAGTTTATCAATCAGTAGATATAAAGTTAATTAGGCATTAGATATATAGTAAAATTAGGCGGTAGATATAGAGCTGATCAGGCAGTAGATATAAAGTTCATCAGGCAGTAGATGTAAAGTTAATCATGAAGAGGATATAAAGTTAAGTAGGCTGTAGATATAAAGTTTATCAATCAGTAGATATAAAGTTAATTAGGCAGTAGATATATAATAAATTAGGCAGTAGATATAAAGCTGATCAGTCAGTAGATATAAAGTTTATCAATCAGTAGATATAAAGTTAATTAGGCAGTAGATATATAGTAAATTAGGCAGTAGATATAAAGCTGATCAGGCAGTAGATATAAAGTTAATTAGGCAGTAGATATGTATTTAATTAGGCAGTAGATATGTAGTTAATTAGGCAGTAGATATAAAGCTGATCAGGCAATAGATATATAGGTAATCAGGCAGTGGATATAAAGTTAAACAGGCAGTAGGTATAACGTTAATCAGGCAGTAGATATAAAGTTAAGCAGGCACTGGATATAAATTTAATCAGGTAGAAGATATGAAGTAAATC